GCTAGAATGGCTTGTCAATCAACCAGTCTGCACACTTTGAAAAGCAAGACACGTGTCACCCTCTCACCATTCGCACTGGTCAGCCCAGCTATATTCGTTGTACTTTCTAAAAAGCAGGACACGTGTCACCCTCTCACTATTCGCGCTAGTCAACCAAGCTAGATTTGTTGTACTTTCACGACACGTGTCAGCACCGTAAAATTTACTTATTCTTTTTTTTTTTGGTGTGGAAATTTACTTATTCTACTAATTTATATAATAAAAAATAATTAAATTTTTATCCTATAATTTTTTATTAACAAATGGTACTAATTAATAAAATAATAAATATAATTACAAAACCTAATTACTACTTATGATAATTAACAATCCCTAAATAATATTAAACTAACTATTATAATTAACAAAACAGGTCCCTAGACATTGTTAATGTTAATTATAATAGTTAGTTTAATATTATTTAGGGAATGTTAATTATCATAATTAGTAATTAGGTTTTGTATTTATATTTATTATTTTATTAATTAGTACCATTTGTTAATAAAAAATTATAGGATAAAAATTTAATTATTTTTTATTATATAAATTAGTAGAATAAGTAAATTTCCACACCAAAAAAAAAAAGAATAAGTAAATTTTACGGTTTAAAATTTTTGTAATTAGTAATTTGGGTAGTATTTTTTTAATATTGTTGTGATTATTAGCATTTATTAATAAACAAATTATAGGATAAGAGACATTGTTAATGTTAATTACAATAATTAGTTTAATATTATTTAAGGATTGTTAATTATCGTAATTTGTAATTAAATTTTGTATTTATATTTAATATTTTTTTATTAGTAGCGTTAATAAAAAATTATAGGATAAAAATGTAATTTTCTTATTATAGAGGGTGCTGACATGTGTCGTGAAAGTACGCACCAAACCAGCTAGGCAGCCCAGCGCGATTAAGGGGGTGCTGACACGTGTCTGAAAGTACAACAAATCTAGCTTGGTTGACCAGCGCGAATAGTGAGAGAGTGACACGTGTCCTGCTTTTCAGAAAGTACAGCTAATATAGCTGGGCTGACCAGCGCGAATGGTGGGAGGGTGACACGTGTCTTGCTTTCCAAAGTGTGCAGACTGGTTGATTGACAAGCCATTCTAGCTTGTCATACCAGCGGGAATGGATCACCATGGCTGACCACCACGTGTCATCTGACAATATCGCTGGTTGGTGTAACGGGATTGAAACGTGGCATTTTGAAAAATTCGAAATGTAAGATGGCATACCGATAAAATATTAGTCAAAAGGTGTTACTTTGGTCAAAGTCGCGCCAATACTTCTTATTTTCAGGTATGATGGCCAGTTTTTGGATTCGGCCCAAATATTCTCTCTCTTTAGTTTTAAGAGAGCAACAAAAAATAAAAATTATTCTTTGCTCTATCATGAAATGATGACCCATAATAAGGCCCAAAATGATAACCCATCCTAAGTTTCTGGCCCGAGAGAATCCATCGTTGGCAACTCACTCATCCAACAACGAATTACAAACCAGAAGCTTTGGGAAAGCCATCTGTCACGGAAATAACGAAGAAGATGCAAGAGAAGGATTACAGCATGCCGAATAATTAAAAAATTGTTATTTTTTTTATGTGCCAAAAAGTTGTTATTAATTAAATTACGGTTATATTTACAAATTTTTTATTTACAAACTACATTAGTCATACTTTAATCAAGAGTGTATGACCGATCAACTTAATGTAATTTGTAAAAAAAAATTATAAACGGATCATTCTCCTTAGGGGGCGTTTGGTACAGGAGAAATTTTTTTTTACCGGAAATCTCAATTTTCAAAATATAATTTTTACATTCAGTTTATGATAATATCCGTAAATTTAAAATTTAGAAAAATTCAGTTTACCGGGATTCTTGAAGAATCCCGCGTACCAAACGCCGCGCGAAGTAAAAAAAAATAAAATAAAATTGAGAATAAGATATCCACTTGAAAAAATACAATATTTTATAACAACTCTCAAAATTAGTTCAAAATTATTTAATACAAATAAGTTACATAAAATTAATTTTTTCATAATTATTTTTAACTTAAACTTAGTTTGGTTCCAATTTATTTTAAACAACATTTATTTAATTTTTTTAATATAAAATACTTAACATATTTATTGTCCATTTAATAAATGAATAGTCCATATAAATGATATCTTATTGAATAATTATCCTTAATCTAGTTAAAAGATAAAGAAATTGAGAATGAAAAAAGAAGAAAGAGTACGGAAAAAAATAGACTGAAAAATCAACTTAGATAAATAACTTGTCCATATTGCACTTGGATATATAATTTTTAGAAATTGTCGAACACCCTGTAATGACTTGGGATATTTGTTGTCCCCCACGTATATGGTTACGAGGTTATCAAATTAAAAGATGATTTGTCATTTGACAAAGCATGATCTAGCTCACCACGGCTGCATAATTTGCTTTTCCAATCATCCTCATCGTCTTCGTTATTAAGATGATAACTAAACCATGAGTAGTGAGGTTGAGGTGGTGGACTCATGCTATCTGTATATTCATATTATAATTATTAAATAAAAACTTGAAAATTTAATTAAAATTTTAAAATTGTGGTTAAGAAAAAAAAAAAAAAAAGGTGATCAGAAGTCAATAATTCCATGGTCAAACAAAACCCAAAAGACAGCACAGCAACCATAAATAAAGATTGGAAGGAAGCTCTCGGGAGAAGTGAAGTTGAAGTGCCTTTAAAGGGGAAAGAGAGTGTGGAGCCCTCCATTTGGGATTGGATTTTGGAGCAACTAATTCCTTCTTATTCCTTCGTAAGTCATTTCTATTTGAGTTGGAGATTCCTGTCCTTAAATTAACATTTTGGACAACGATTATTTTGTCAGCAAAAAATTACCGAATTTTCATGTCGGAATTTTTTTTTTTTTTTCAAAATGTTACTGTGCATCAAGATTACCTGACACCATGTCATCAAGTTTAAGGCCACATGATGTTGCTGCATTGTGCGGTGATATTACATGGCAGACGCTACATGGCCTAAGTCGATGCACCATACAACATTGTACAACATTTTACGTGGCATCAATAACAATTTGACACATTGATTGAGAGAATCAAAGAAGTTGGATAATGCAAAACTATAGTGGACATGTGCAGATGGAGTGTCCAAGGGAAAACAATAAAGACGATTTAATGTCCAATAAATGCTGATTTGTTTTTTATTTTCTTTTTAGAAAATACAATAAGCAATAAAAAAATTAGTATTTATTAGATATTAAATCGTCTTTATCGTTTTCCAATTGATACTCCATCCGGACACTCCATCGTTTTTATTGTTTATTATATTTTTCAAAAAGAAAACAAAAAATAAATCAACATTTATTGAACGTTAAATCGTCTTTATCGTTTTCCTATGAACACCCCATCGTCTTTAGTGTTTATTATATTTTTCAAAAAAATAAAAAATTAACATTTATTGGATATTAAATCGTCTTTATCATTTTCTTATACACATTTCATCATCTTTATTGTTTATTATATTATGATTTATCGTTTTTCAATGGACACTCCACTTGCACACGTACAAATGGAGTGTCCATTGAAAAACGATACTGGCGCCACGTAAAACACTACAAAGTGCAATGACTTAGGCCAAGTAGCGTTTGCTATGTAATCTCGCTGCACAGTAGAACGAGATTATGTGATCTTAAACTTACTTACATGACGCCATATAAACTCGCTATACAGTACAACAAGTTAAGTGACGTGGTATTTTGACAAATTTTTGTCTTGGCAATCCGATAAAATTTTGGCATAAAAATAGCAAAATGGTCGTTGTCCTTTAACATTCCACAATGATCAACTCCAAGTTGCAAAGCATTTGTCACCGTGGGGCTCCTTGGTGGGCTCAACTATTTCCCTATTCCTAATCCATATCTTTCCCTTTTCTTTCACCGGCTTAATTTTCATTTTTTCTTCTCTTTTTTTTAGAGATGTTTACGAGTTTATCATAGTTTATTTATTTATATAAGACCACACAACAATTGTAAGGTATACTCTGTGATCATGTATTATCTAATGAAAATAGAAAAAAAAAATTCACCAAACTACATCTATCTTAACAATCCCACGATCCATGATACTGGGTATTAAAGATTCACTCATTGTATTTGAATCCAAAAAAAAGAAAAAGATTCACTCATTGCCTCGATGGAGTGAGACTTGAGAGTAGAACAAAGGCAAATGCATGCACTTAGTATTTTCAAACTGATTCCAAAAATACGAACTTTGAAATTGCATGAAAAAGAGCGATGGATAGGGATTGGATGACTTTGAATTTTAAAAGATGGATATATGGATTAGGATGCACAAGAAGACCAACCAAAATGGATGAGAAAGAAAAAATAAAAAGCAAAAAATAAATAAAATACATTTGTCATGATATTATTACCAAGTTGTCATTTCGTCTTTTTTTTTTTTTTTGATAAACGTCATTTCGTCTTTTTTATATCATTATTATTATTATTTTGTTAAATGTGTGATCTTATTTGTTAAGTTATGGCATCATAGGATTATGACACAGCAAAGACATGCTTAAATTGTACTGAAAATTGACCATTTTACACAATCGCATAATGCAATCATCACCTTCATTTCTTATATATGAATAAATAGGATTGAAAAATTCCATATCCTTTTGATTTTAATCATTTATCTTGTTATTTAATGAAAAGAATGTTAATCATTTTTTATAATTTTAAATAATAAATATTTTTAATTAAATAAGTAATAATATAATTAAAAGAAATTTTATTTTAAGATAAGAATATCTAACAAGTTTTTTTTTCTTATGTAATATAATAATAGAAAAATAAAATAAAAATTCATATATTAATTTTGTTTTTCTCTCTCTTTTTCTTATTCTCTTATTGGGTTGGTATTGTTGTCAAAGTTTGGAACTTGATTGTACAAATAGAAACACGGTTGTCGTGAGTGTTGGTGGTTTTTGACCGATATGCCCCAAGCCGCCTCTCGTTTTCTTTTTCTGTAGTTGCCTCACAATCGCATCACACAAGCAAACACACAGAATCGAAGGGAACCAAAGGAAAACATACAATATGGATAGGGTCTTCTCTGTCGATGAAATCTCTGACCATTTCTGGTCGCCGCCGATCCCAATCACCGGCTCCTCCCCCATCGATTCGTCGAAGATGAATCGCAGTGCTTCAGAGTGGGCCTTCCAGCGCTTCATCGAGGAAGCTACAGCTTCCGCAACATCTCCCCCTTCTTCTTCTTCCGCAGCTGACGACGTCGTTTTCCTGGAAATGGAAGATCAACGCAAACCCGCGCCCCTACCAAAGAACGGTGCAGATTTGCCTAACGGGCCTCCTCCTCCTCCATCCCTGTCCGTTGATTCGGACGAATACCAGGCTTTCCTCAAGAGCAAGCTCAATCTGGCATGCGCTGCAGTCGCCATGACTAGGGTAATTCTGCTTTTCGTTTCTTCTTAGGAGAATGTGGAAAATCAACGATTCCATTGGCTTTGATTTGGATCTGTGTTGTTTTTGGTACTGGTTGTTGTGAAAAAATCCAAAAAACTTGGCTGCTTATTCATTTATTTGTTTAGTTGCATTTGGGGTTCTGATTTTTTCTGAATAATGAATGTTTGAGAGTAATTTAGTCTTAGCTAGGCTTTTCTACTTTACCTCTGAGCCCCTTCTTGGTTGTTATGCTTTCGGACTAAATTAAAAAATCTAAAAAGCTTAACTTCTCTACGGAAGCATGTCTTGTTAGGTGCAAAGGGTGACCACAATTCTCTGATAGTGGTAGGCAACTATTCTTGAAATAAAAATCTTTGGAAACAGCAAACAAGGCCTGTAGGGTTGCTCTTAATGTGAGTTTGCCCTTTTGTTTCCAAATGCAAAAAAATAAAATAAAATAAAACACTATATAACATATTGGTGCACTAAACTGACTTTAGGAGAAGTGAAGGTGAGCCTTGGAGCAGGTGCTGCTCAATGACTGGAAGGTCATGGGTTTGAACCTAAGGAACAACCTCCAGTAGAAATGCAAGGATAAGGCTACGCTCAATTGCCCCTTCTCTCGCAAAACTGGGGAGCCTTTGTGCAATAGGGTTTGCCCTTTATATAACATATTGATGCAAAACTATTACATAATTGAGAAAGAAATTAATATATTACCTATTTAGTATTTCCCGGGGTCTTGGCTGGTTGGCCCTAACTGGTATTAACCTTGTGAAATGAGTTGAAATATGACTTTATGTTCCTTCAACAAAATTCTGTACAGAAATAAGGATGAAGCATCCAAATAAAAGATCTACAATGGCTTCCATAAAAGGTTTTTATTTTTATTTTTTAAATCAAATATTTGTTGACATTGTCTTGTCTGCACTTCACCCTGGTTGCATTTATTTCTGGTCATCTGCATTTCAATCCTGCACTTTAAAATTGTATTTACTATGTAATTAGGTATGATATATAACTTTTATTCGGTTTCATTATTGGGTTACCGTTCCCCCATTTCCCTCATCTCTTCCCACTAAGAATTGAATCAGTACCTAATGTTTTTTCTGCTCATTGCAATAGGGATCTTTGGTTAGATCTCAAGATCCAGCTACTTTTCCTGACAATGGATCACAGCTGTCTAATCCTGCTCAAGTTGGATCCCAGCCTACCTTTAAAGGTTTGAATCGGTAAAAGTATGTGGATGTGTTTGTTAAAGTTTATGCATATGTGTATGAAAACATAGAAGATTCATTGAAGGAAGCATATCACATTTATGAAAAAAGTTTAATTACACTACAGGCTCAGTAAATAAAATCGAATATGCTGAATGCTGAATGAAAAATAAATTAGGAATTATTAAAAGTTGCATGAGTAGGGTGAAAGCATAATCTATGTAGAAATTTTGTTTTAATCAGAAAGCTTTTGCTCTCTTTTGTTGATCTATTTAGTCATTTCTTGAGCAGCTTTCGGGGTTGATTTTAACTCTATTAATATGGATAACACCTATATCTGATTATGTAGGATCTGGTCCTTCTGGAAATGACCCACCTAAATTGCTAGATAAAGATACAAAAGCACCAATTGGGATACCTTCCATACCTACCATGCAAAAGAAACCTGCTGTTGCAATCAGGCCATCAACAAGTGGATCATCAAGAGAACAGTCAGATGACGAGGAAGCTGAAGGAGAGACAGATGTGAATGACAACACGGACCCTGCTGATGTAAAACGAGTAAGGAGGTAACAATCAACTGAGTTTGTTATGGAAAATGCTAGTTCTTCTTGTATATACACTCAGGAATTGATAGTGATTGGCTGATACGACAAAGAACTAGTCAAACCAAAATTTGAGAAGAATCAAGATAATTGGTATTACTGAAACTAACCAACAAAACTCAGCAACATTTACGAGACACATTCTGGTAATTTCAATTACGCTAAGTAACAGAGAAAATTAAAAAAATGGAAATAAATGGCAGAACAACGATAGTGAGTTCCAGAAGAATTAGAGAGCCTTTGGTCTCTCCCAAGCCTAAGTTCCTAGTCCCATAGATACCCTTCAAAACCAATCCCCCCCTCTATTTAACTACTTCCATCTATATGATGCTCACCTCCCTTGAAACAGAAAAGTAATTCTTCTAATAACAAACGTTACTGACTCAGCAAGTCATTGAAGTTGATATCCCCTACTCCTTCTGTCATAGACCTTAATGTTGCTTGAGATCTTAACAATACTCTCCCCCAAAACTTTCAAAATGTGCCCAAGGTGAAGGTCAGCCCACAAAAAAACCCTCCCATAGGGTCCCATTTCTTGAAATGTAGGAATGCCTTTATGGAAGAAGTATAGTCGCTTCCTCTTGGATCCCTTTGAGCATCTATGTAGCTTGGGAAGTCATGACCAACAAGAAAGTAATCACCATGGTCATAACCAGAATTTCCTTCCAAAGTCATAACTTCCAAACACCCCACTTTGAACAAACTTTTTGTCTCTTCAAACGAAGGATCAAGTCTGAATAGTCCCTACAAACTTTTTTGTCTCTTCAAACCAAGGATCAAGTCTGAATAGTCCCTTCTCTCTTTCCTTCCTCAGTCGAGGGACATCTGCTTTTGCACCAAAAAGGAAAAAATTCTACTCACCATTCTCCTCCTTGATTTCTACATTAGCTCCATCTAAAGTACTATTGGAAGGCATCCATTCAAAGCAAATTTCATGTTGCTTCTACCACTTGCTTCCATGCCTGCTAATATGATGGGATAGTTCACTCCCAAGAATCAACACCTCTGCCATAGACGCATTGTTGCATTGTAATTTGAGACAAACACAGCCTTTGCATTAGGATTGAAATATATTAAGTTGAACTCTTGATCAACTCTTAGGGTAGAAACAAGCTGTAAACTAATTACATCAGTCGTAGCATTTTCAGTTTTAGGAAGCCCATGATAATTATCATCTCCCAAGCTATCAAGAAAACCTAGTATGAACAATGCACAATCTTGATTCATTTTACAAGACCAAAAATCTCTCCCAATTGTCGGACTTCCCAATACCATAAGCATTATCCCAATATGCTAGTCCCTCACACTTGCCAAGTTCCCAACTTAAATTGAGAGAACGAGTTTGCAAAGGCTCCACCAGAATCACTAATACCAACTGCATATATCCGAACAGTGTGCTTATTTGCCATAGTAAAGGGATAGCATAGGATTGATCTTGGATCCATTTTTCCGAAACTTTCTCCTCCTGTGGTATCAGCAAATAGAACAAGTGAGTCTTGCATTGGTCATTTGGGTTCCACCCATCATCGAAACCGAAGAATAGTTCCTTTTGCAACTTCCTCTTGGATCTCTTTTTGTGAAAATCGCTGCCCATCGCCCTTGCGTCTATGGTTTCCATTGCCTCCCGCTCTAGGTTTCTCAGTCTCCTTGCCAGTGGCAGTGCTAGGGTTGCTATGAGGGAGAGCTCTGTCTCTTGAAGCTTCCTGTGAAATGGGTATCCATTATTCCTAACATATTGTACTTGGGTCATCTTGACCTGAATTAATTCGATGGTTTGGGTTGTTTTCAAAGTGATTTGGGCTTGACACATTGCGTCAATAACGCGGCCCTGAGTTGCAACCCATTCTTGCCTCTTCTTCCTCTCATGACTGCGTATTGAAGACGTTGTCCTCCCCTTTGCGAAGGTGCAGATCTGGTGGCTCTGGTGGCTTCGGTTCAATTACCATTGGTGGTGACTGTTGTTTTGCCAGTGTATATGCTACCTTGGCTCAATTCTCTCTCTCATCCATAGCTTCCCTCTCCTTAATCTCCTTTTCCCCAACCTCGACCTCTTTCTCTCGTAGCGTTTCTCTTTTTGTTTTTGGTGACTCTAATTTATCTTTGTCTTCCAAAGACAGCTTTTCAGATTCAGGGATTCCCTCCGCATGTCAATAATCCACCCATATCATTCTCCTCGCCATAAATCTGTAATCATCTTCCTCTTTCTTCTTCTTTTTTTGTGGTTTCAGCCCTCCTGGTTTTGGAGCTCTTGTACCAATTGGTACAACCAAGAACTGGTGAAACCAAAATTTGAGAAGAATCAAGATAATTGGTATTACTGATACTAATCAGCAACACTCAGCAACGTTTATAAGACACATTATGGTAATTCGATTATACTAAGTAATGGAGAAACGGAAAAAAGGAAATAAATGGCGGAACAACAGTAGTGAGTTCCAAAAGAATTAGAGAATCTCGATTCTCTGGTCTCTGCCACGCCTAAGTTCCAGTCCCAGAGATACCCTTCAAAACTCATCCCCCTCTATTTAACTACCTCTATCCTATACGATGCTCAGCTCCCTCAAAACCATGAAGTAATTATTCTAATTGCAAACTTTGCTGACTCGGCGACAACTAGTCATGGAAGTTGATATCCCCTTTTTCTCCTTCTATCATAGACCTTTATGTTGCTTGGGGTCTTAACATTGGCCTGCCAGAAAAATTGCATCCAGTCACATGTCAGATCTTTGAAGTGAGAGTACTGCTGCTTAATCTATTTTTTTCGCAAACTGTGAACAAACTTTTGATGTGGTTGCATCTAGGTTCACTTAGAGCCCCTGCTGGAATTTTTTTTTCTTTTTTTTTCTGTTAAGCCCAGATGCAAACATGTCAGAACCTTTTGAAGAAAGGTTGTTAAATTACTCTTAAAGTGATTATGCTCCTCATAGTTTATATCGTAAGTTGAAAAAAATTTATATTGGCAGCAAGCTTAACTCATCTGGTATTTAGATTGGATTCCTTTTTTTACCCTGTTATTGTAAAACGCTCATGTGTTCAACTCACGGACAAATTGTGCTTTGGTTAATTCAATGCCTAATGACATTTATCTCTCAGGATGCTTTCCAATAGGGAGTCAGCCAGACGCTCAAGAAGAAGAAAGCAGGCTCATTTATCTGAACTGGAGACACAGGTGTGTATCTTTTATTTTAGATCTGACTTCTTCCTCCCCGTCTTCTATTTTTGTTTAATTGGGTAGCCCTCTCAATTTTTTCTGACCTTATATTATTAGGTTAACCAATTAAGAGGTGAAAACTCGTCCTTGTTAAAGCGCCTTACTGATGTAAGCCACAAGTACAAAGAATCTGCTGTCGACAACAGAGTATTAAAAGCTGATGTTGAAACCTTAAGAGCAAAGGTAAAGCCTTGCTTTATGTATTTACTTGTCATTAATTAAAATCTATTATGACAAACCTACCGGCTTCTTTGTAATAAGTTCTCTAGGTTTGGCTGACAAGCTGAGGAATGGAGCCCAACCAGGGTCATCTTTTTCTCAGTGGAGAGAAACTAAATTAAAAGGAAAGTAATATTGGTTTGTCTGTGTTGAGAAAGGTCTGACATGACATGCTTGTCATTTTCTTTCATGTTATTCTCATTTTTAGGTGAAGATGGCTGAAGAGACCGTCAAAAGAATTACTGGGTTCAATCCAATGCTTCATGCCATGTCTGAGATATCATCAATTGGCATGCCATCATTTGATGGAAACCATTCAGACACATCAGCTGATGCTGCTGTTCCTGTGCAAGATGACCAACATCATCACTTCTATCAACCCACATCTAACAATCCTATGCCCACCAGTCATGATCTGAGAGTCAACAATGGGCTGGGGGACATTTCTACAATTGAGAATGTGCAGCAGAACACTGCAGGAGTGGTAGGTGGGAACAAGATGGCTCAAACAGCTCCCTTGCAGCGGGTGGCTAGCTTGGAACATCTTCAGAAACGTATTCGTGGTGGCGTGGATTCATGTGGACCTCCTTCTAATGGAGAGCAGTAATAAAGTAGCTAAATATTGTGGATGATTTAATAGTAAATGAATTATTCTAAAATACTTCTGTAAGTTATAAGTAAAGGTCTATTCTTCTTGACTACATTTTTAATCAATTTGATGGAATCCCTGATGCTGGATTCAATCGGTGCACCGCATATTTATTTATTTTTGGATAAAATTAACGTGACCTCCTTTGGGTTTAACATTTTCTCAGCTTATTCCCTAATAATAATATTTTTTCATTAAATCCCCTTCCTCTTTGGTATGGCTTTGCATAAAACTTACTATTTTTTTATTTTTAATTTTTTGAAATCACGAGATATTGAAATTATGAAACTAATGATACAGTGTGTTGAAATTATGACTTGTGATTAAATGAAACGAATGCTAAGGCTACATAACAATTCATGAGCTTTAACCATAATACATTAGGTAGCACTAGACCACCCTCATCTATTGTAGAAGCTTCACATCCTATAACAATCAAACAGCCCAAAACCACTCATCGACTGGAGATAATGGATCAAACTCGAATGCCCGACATAATTTCATCCATTGAATCAGAAGAGCCACCTAAATCCACCTTCCCCCAGCATATCAAATCCAAAGACCCCTAAGCTTCGAAATAGCCTAGCCACTGCCTCACATCTTCACAAAACCTCACTGCCAAATCAAGCACATAGTCCCCCATCATTTAGGCCGTCCCAGCCCCTGGCATACACTAGAAACAACGCGTCAAAACCTTTGTTCTAACCCTTGACTGTTGCATCCCCTAAACTCACCAATCCACCATTCCCGTTGAGCATCCAATGCATCTGTGAACACCATTTTTTTGGTTACTATTATTACTATTATTATTATTATCATCTATATATTCTATTCCAAACACAGAACAAAAATAAAAAAAGGTATTAGCTGATATATTTAAAAGCTTGGTGGTCCATATATAACCATCCTCTCTTCGTGGAGAGCAAATTTGAATTACCAAAATTGGTAAGTAAGTTCAGTAATGAAAGTGCCGAATAATAGTGGGGCAACAGTGGTGAAAATTTGTCCAATTCCACACTGATAAAGCTGTGAATCTCATCCGTAAAAATTGCTAAACTCAGTTTATGAACACCATCCTTATCTTATCCAGAAAAAGTAATAAACATAAGAAGGGAAATTTCAGAAAATTCAAAAGGGCATGTCCAATGAAGATGGCTATAATTTCTCTTGGCCGTTGCCTCTCTTGAAGAAGACAAATATCCTTAGCTGTACATGCAGAGCAGTAGTTCAGCCACTTCAACGTTTGACACAAGGAAACAAATAAGAGCAGACAATTCTTCACAGTAAAACACCCCTCCTCCGTTGGGTACACGATGCAAAGGCTAAAAAACAAAACAAAGCAAAAGGACGGTTGAGGAAGAGTGTAGCACGCTGAAAATGACTTTGCCCCCCACTGTTGAAGCAAAAACAAAGGAGTTTAATGCTACCAAACAAAGTTATGCCAAAGAGAGACAAGCATTTGGAACCTACAGAAAGCACCTTGAAGAACAAATACCAAAGAGGATGGGTCAATGCTATCTCTGCATAAAAGAATAGCAGCATGCCTGACCACCAATGGGATGGAGTAGAGAGGAATCAAGAAATCACAAAAATAAAACTACGTTGATGAAGGACTATATAAACAAGGGAGGCCGGTTCAAAATGGGGATCGTAAAAAAAAAAACTTCTGGACAAGAGAGACCTTCATACAAAAGAGAGGAAGACCCCACAACCTTCTTCCATTTGGATTCCACAATCTCCCTCACGGTGAAAAAAAAAATTAGAAAACTCAAGATCTTATATTAGCCACCGCCAAGCCACCATGAAAGGTGTCTAGAAGCCATCGACCACCGGTCCAAACACCACAAGCACTGCGCGCCTCTGCACCTACCAAAGATCACAGGATCCACCCCTTTATACCAAAACCCCTTTGATGTTCTTGCATACTGGTAACAAAGCGCTTTATCCTTCTCTTTCTCTTTTTCTTCAAACGCTAGAGGTCTTGTTCACTTTCATGATATTTTAGTTGTATTTATCATTATAATAGTTATTTTCTCACTCTCTTTTTGTTTTCTATCATTTATTAACTATTATGTATGTTTGTCAGTTGGAACATAGCCGAAAATTTTGTGGATTCGTGGCCATAAAAATTTTGGCACCCAAATATTGGATAATGGACTATTACATACATGTTATGTAGGCCTAAACTACTTAAGGTGAATATTAAAAAATAAAAAAAAATAATTTTTTCTACTGCTTACATAGTTCTTACTCTGATTGCCCAAATATTTCAATTAATTATTTTTTTTAATCTTCATTAGTGTGGGTTTGCGCCAATTAGTTTTAGGAAAAGAACGTTTCTTGTCATGGCCCTTTTATGTTATTAAATTCCCAGTATGTGATCAATTCATCTTTACTTATCTCTTTAGTAATCCTCATTTCGATAAAGCTGGTCTAGCTATAAAAATAGGATATCATGATGCTGACAAGTCGTTTACTTTGAGAAAATTTTAAAACTCATAAAAAAGAAGGAGGAATGCTATGATTATCTACAGCATCAGCTTTCGTTTTTTTGTTTTTTTGGTAGATTAAGTAGCCTTCTCTCTTGATGTTAAAACAAATAATAAAAAAAACAAATAAAAATAAAAATAAAAATAAAAAATAAAAATAAAAATAAATAACCAAATTGTCCGTGTTTCCTATAATCCCTGTCCATGTGAATGAATGTTTATCTTTTTGTATTGGGTATGTATTTATTTATTTGTTGACAAAATAGGTTTAAATATTCTGAAAATTACAAAAATAAAATAAACGTAATGGTTGAAACGTTATCGCCTCTTATGTTACTTCGTTTATAGGTACTTGTTTGTTTATAATATGATATACATATCCACGGTGCAGCAATGTTGCCATCTTTCAATGTTTTAATGCAATGTTAACATCCACTTTGTGAAAGGAATATTTTAACGTTCTATAGGTTAGCTAAGCTTCAGCTTTTCTCGGTTAATATATATACATTCCCGATGCAAATGTTGTCGTACTTTAATGTTTTGATATTTTAGTTTTGCAATGTTGCCATCTACTTTAGATTGTTATGAAAGACAAATATTTATTACTTTAGCAAACATCATCTTTTGTCTCTGTCCATACATTACTATCTTTAATTCATTTTTTATTTCTTTTTTATATAAAAAAAATGATTATTTGAGTACCTTAGCTGGTTCGTTCTTAATTCACAAACTTTTTCATATTTTGTTCATTTTATGTTGTTAAATTATTTCATACTTATTATTTCAGTCTTAATCAGGTAGTTGATTTAAGAAATAAGTAAACTGACAAATCACTTATATTTATGGTAAATTGAGGTATTAGCTGAGATGTGACATCTTGCTAATCCTGTAATTTTTAAAATCATTTCGATTGTGACAATCCGATGATTTTTTTAAATTGTTTAGTAATAATAAACAAAAAAAGATAATAAACAATCATAGTTTCTATTTAAATTTATTTGACGTTGGGTTAATTTAGAAAATAAAGAATAATTATTAGTTAAAAAGGAGTAATTTAACCGTGACGGTTTGTTAACTCCACGTATTTCATTTCGGATCATTTTAACCGTGACGGCTTGATGATCTGAAACAAATCAAATTTATCATATTTTCATATCAATTTAAAACATATAATAATGCTAAAGTTACGCCTAAGGGTGATTTAGCCGTGACGGCTTGTTTAATCCTGCGTGTTTGGTTATGGTCCATTTTAGCCGTGACGGTTTGGTGATTCCAAATTTATCTAAAACTTTCTTATAATGAAACTTAAAACATTAAGATTTTCAACAAAGGGGTAATTTAACCGTGACAGTTTGTTAACCCCGTGTATTTTACTTTGGCTCATTTTAACCGTGACGGTTTGGTGATTCAGAGTTTATTCAAATTCATCACAAAATTCGTATTAATGAAAATAATTGCATAAAATTTATTTTTTTAGAAAAAGAGGTAATTTAGCTGTGACGGCTTGTCAACCCTGAGCATGATCAGAATTATTTTAGCTGTGACACTTGGTACTCCGAAATTTAAAACCAACCAACACACAAATATTATTAAAGAACGACGTAGCTTTGAATTCCTCACTGCACCTGAGGATACGTCGGAGCGGAACTCTTTCCGTCAAGCTAAAATAAAATTTTATTAATTTAGTCTTCTCATTTTCTAAATAATTATGTTTAGTTATTTTAAGGGATTAAGCAAATATTTTTAAAAAGCTATTAATAATTTACACAATTAATTTAAGGTAACCGTTTTAAACGGATGTGTCAGGGGTGCAGTGGGATTAAGTTTCCACCCTTCCTTGAGCATAATTAGATTCCCGAACCTTTGGTCTATAATTTTAAAGACCAGTTTGCAATAAAAGGTTTTCCAATTTTTCCGAAGTAAATAAAATTGGTGGCGACTCCATTTATTTTAATTCTTTAAATTTCGGGTCGTTACAGATGGCGACTCCACTGGGGACTTTAGAGAGTCAAGCCTGTTTTAATTATTTGTACAAATTCGTAATAGCTTTTATATATTTGCTTTACTTCCTTTTCGTTTATTATGTTGTTTATCTTTGTTGTTATGTTTTGACATCTATGAGGATTGGGTTCAACTTTAGAAAATATGATTTTTGTATTGTTGTACGCTTGTTCTTCAATTGTTTTGCAGATTGGGTAGTTTTAGATTTATGTGAAGGTTTGTATGCTCCCTCCACACACAACACCTACACGTTGATCACACACTATGAGTGGGGCCCTATACCCGGGTCTGAGTGAAACATAAGATAGGCTAGAGGTTGTGTAGTGGTAGCCATTTTGGATGTACGTCCTGTTTGGTTATTGCGAAAACCTCATCTAGAGTGTAACTCTTTCATTGTGCACCACATCTGTTAGTTCAACTATCGTTGTGGTCAACACTTTGAATTGAGATCTTAGCTCTAGAGACCAAAATTGTTAGGATCATAGAACTACCTTACGAGAGTTTGTCACTTGATAGAACAACCTATTGATTTATAAAACTAAAGTCATCCAGTTTTAGGATTAACCACTTTAGGACACAAAGGGAGCGTATTTCCTTCTCACTCTTTACTTCCATTCTTGCATCATTCAGCATTTTTAGCATCTCACATTGCCCATTTTGAACTCTTCCAGGGAACTTTGTTAGAGAAACGTTGATTTCCAGAGCTTGATTGTGAGTATCATTGATGGAAAATAGTATGGGATCACATCACGAGGAGGTGATACCACCCACATTGAAAAAGACTTTGCACCTGAAAGCAAAGAAGCCTGATACTGAAAGTTTGAAGGTTTTGGGTCGAACGTTGAAGAAAACACAACGTCTTACTCTTGCTAGGAAATATGGGGAAATTCTAGATCTATTAGAAGTTGATGTGCAAGTAGATGCAATCACTGCGGTTGCTCAGTTTTATGACACACCTTTGAGATGTTTCACTTTCCGAGATTTCCAATTGGCACCTACTTTGGAAGAATTTGAGCAAATTCTTGGCTTATCATTAGAAGATTTTGAGAAGCCATACCGCTACTTGGGGCACTACCCTTCTATGCATGCTATTGCTGACGTCTTAAAAGTTCCTGAGAAAAGCTTGCAAAAAAAAAGACAAAATAGAAATGGGACCGATGGATTTTCAAGGAAGTACCTGGAGGAGCACCTTCGTCACTTAGCTGAAATTGAAGACTGGGAGGCTTTCATTGATGTGCTAGCTCTCACCATTTATGGTATCCTCATGTTCCCAAATGTTGACGAGTTCGTGGACTTCGCAGCTATAGATGTCTTCTTTGCTCGCAAGTTTAGAGGTGAAAATCCTGTTCCTGCCATTCTTGCTGATGTCTACTATACTCTAAATTTTTGTTATGAGAAGAAGGGCAAAAGAATTTTGTGTTGTTTACCAATGTTATTCATATGGCTCACTGCCCATGTCTTCAAAAGAGGATACGAGATCTTATACCCCATCACTGAGTTTCAAAGATATCAGTTAAAGGCTAAAAGTGGTCATGAATGGACTCAAATTTTAGCACGATTGGATGAAAAAAGTGTCCGATGGTATCCTCGATGGGTTGAAAGAGAAACTTTGATCTACCAATGCGGTGATTTCCCTAATGTGCCTCTCATGGGTACCCGAGGGTGTATCAATTACAACCCATCCTTGTCACAACGACAACTCGGTTATCCTATGAGAAGAGCTCCCACGGAAGACATGATAGCTCCTTTCATTCTTTATGATATGAGCTCTGCACGTAATGAGTTACTTAAAAGAGTTCGAGATGCCTGGGATAA